AATCTTCGAAAGCGCTTGTTGTCTGTCATTATATATATATAGAGGTGTCTGTATGTGTGAACACACACACACACATATATATATATATATACACACTTACTTTTTGGTTTACTAGAAGTTATACGATATAGTACTGTATCAGTTTATTTTGTATCATACTAACACCACATTACACTAGACTACACTACAAGACGATACTCTGTATACTCTCCGGTAATATTCTGCATAATGCAACATGACACTTCAAGACGGCAGGTGGCTGCCGCCTACTTCCCGCAGCTCTCCGGCAGCTTCCTGAGCTTGGCCCACACCTCGCTCAACGAGACCCTTGGCCCTTGCAGCGGAAGCGGAAGCGGCTTTTGGGAGCGGGTTTAGGTTAGTTTCGAGGGTTTAAGGTTATTGCCGGATGGCTGCATTCTGGGCACATGGCAGTGCAGTAAGTAGCGAGCGTAGATCATGGCACCAGTTTTGCGTTGAGGTTCCTGCATGGCACTTGGACCCACTGCCAGGAACACCAAGTATAACGCCAAGTGCAACATACCGGAGAGCCACTACGATGTTATCACAGAGCTGGCCAAGTCCGAGGAAATGCTTCTTGGCAGAGTGTGGGGGGGGTGGGGGGCACAAAATGATTGATCTTTGAGCTCTTTGATGCAAGGACCTGCTCAGCCCCTAAACCCTAAACCCAGGCTAGGACATATGTGCTGCGTGCGAGAGTGAGAGTCGAAACCCAGGCTGTCCTGGCTTAAATCCGAGTTGTGAGAGCGCCGAAACCCAGGCTGTATGCGACAGCCAAGCGGAGAATGTGGCATCTTCGCTCCAAAGTCGCCTCCCTTCTGGAGGAAGAGCCGCAGGATGATTTGGGCCCACGCGAGAAAGTCAAAGAATCGCCTTAAAGGCTTTATCTATACTTAAACAAGTGAGTGGATGTTGCAAAGATTGATTTGAATTCGTTGGTAAGTGGCCGGAGGCTTCGCCCCGGAAGGTGGGCACTTGAATTTTCCCGGCCATTTGCAGACATGGAGAGTGGAGGCGGTTGTGTCGCAAGGTTATGCGGCAGTTTTCCCTTAGTTGAAGCTGGCTCATCCTGAAGGGATTGTGCTAGCAGTAGTTTTGAGCCATGTCCCGACCTGAATGCAGGTTCTTGGAGCATCTCTGGCATTTAATGTTTGCTTGTGGAAGGCACCGGTGCATGCGCGGCCGAAGCGTCAAGTCGCCTCGACATGTCGGCATGTGCCTCGCAAAATGGAGATGCCCCGTCCTTGCTGTTGTTTCTTACAAGCTCCCAGCTCGACCTCAAAAGCGACTGTTGGCGGCAAGCAGGCAACAGCAGTAGATATCTCCGGGAGAGGGCGACTTTGTCGGTGACCCAGCGACCGTGCCTCAAGCCACACAGCGAGAACCGAGCCCTTGGGCGTACGCGAGGCTCGGCAATCTCAGCGCTGCCCAGCTTGCCCGAGGCAGCCCCGAAAGGGCTCTGGAGGCGGAACTTGCTATGGGATGACAGTGATTCTAAGATAGCCCACTGTGCAGCAGCAACGAAGACTGAGACCTCGGCGTATCGTTTGAATGCAACTGTTGTTGCACCTGCGCGTTCAAGGCAGCCCGATCGGCGAGTGGCATGGACACAGCCTACACCAAAGCGTACTTCCGCGAAGCCAAAGTTCCATGCCAAGAGATGTCCGGTAATGCCTACAGCCTCCCCTTGAGACGCTCTTCTGAGGCGTTGTTGGCGCTGGGGCGACCCTGTGCCGCAGTTAGTGCTGCAGAGCCCCCAGAGCCCAGAGATCGAGTGCCAAAAAACTCCTGACCTGCGCCAGTCGTTGCCTCTCGGGCAGTCCACACTGGCATTTGCCAGGCCCGGCGATTGTATTTCGTGGCCGGGATGGACAGAGTCCGCTTCCGAGCTCCAGCGAAGCCGCAAGTGCAGTGCACCTCCCGGGGAAGTTGAGGCCGACCGAGAGGCCATGGACCAAGCCAGTCTGCCTTCCGAAAGATGCTACTGATGTTTGCAGCATGTGGGCTCGAACTCGCTCGCAGCGCATTGTAAGGTCCGAAACCTGCTGGATGCTGCTGCAGAACAGCTGCGCAAGCGTCAGCACAGGCCGCTCTGTGCCTTGTTTATGGCATCAGTACTTGACCGCTGCAACACCCAAGATGCTTTTTCTGAGGTCGAACCTGTCATGATACGACGATTAAACACCGATCATTTATGCATAGCATTCCTGCAAGAGTATACGCTCTGACCCAGGTTTGGGAAGCCCTGCCCAAAAAATCACACAATGCGAGACCATGTTGCTTTAGATTGTAGTGGATCGCTGAAGCCGCTAAAGGGTAAAACAAAGAGCCCAGGTGGTAAGAAGAAGCAAGATCGGGGTTTCAAACAACGATGCCCTCTCCAACTTCCTTCTCGCCCGTAGGCCTCGTGTGTCGTGCAGCGAAAGCTCTTCAGCTCCTGCTTCTGACTTGGAGGCGACAACTGGGGAGAATATTATTTTTTATTGCTATTATTAGTACTACTATTATTATTATTGTTACTACTATTATTATTAGTATTATTATTATTGTTACTATTATTATTATATGATGTTAGTCCTCTTTGGAACACGAGTATCAATTTGACTCTGCAACCTCAATCTTCCCGTCTGTGGCTGCCAGTCGACCGTGGATCTTCCAGATCTGGTGGCTGACTGTTGCAATGGGGAGGACGATGATTTTCACAAAGGTGGATGCACGTATGTGCAGGCTGTGATGTTCAGATAGCAGGAACTTGTCCAGCTGTCACAGACATCGCGGCGGCTGCGCAAGCAGCTCTTTTCCGAAGAGGCCGGCGATTCAGTAGCGCTTGGTATTCGCAAATCATAAGAGCGTCGAACAAGCGCCCGCAAGCATGCTAAAGAGGCGCTGCTGTGCCGGGCGTCGCAGCTTTGTCACAGCCGGAGCTGGCTTCGGCTGGGACCCGAGTGTCACCGATTGGGATGTGCTCCGGACGGACGGACTACAGCTTCATGCCCATCAAAAGATGTAAGACGTTGGGGGCACTTCGTGCGCACATGCAAAGCCAGGCGGGATGCGGCATTTGGCCAAAGCGTGTTGCCCAATGCTTTCACAACTTTTTTTGAAGGGTATGATATAGCTTGGTCAATTCTGCTGAAGGTGCTGGATGGGCATATGCGATCCACCTAGCGCATGCCAGGCCGCTTCTTGAAAGCTGCTGCTAAGAGCGGTGAGAGTCGAAACTGAAATACGATGCCGCCGGGACTGGCGACTGGGGCTGAAGGATATGCGCCAGTTGTTGACACAGGGCGTATCAGCATTGGCGTTCCAAACTGCCGTCAACTGCCCTTCTGTGGCATGATGATCCTTCTCTCCGCTGTTCGATTCAACTTGCGGAGTTCCCAGGCTTTTTGAAAGTTGCGGTGGGGTGGACTCCGGACTGGTCTTTGTAGTTCGGTGTGATTATCGCGACTCCCCGTGGTCAGCACATACAGCGTGTCACAAGTGTCCATCCCAGAAGAGTTTTTTGCTCTACAATCTTCTTGGTTTTGTTTGGTCGCGCAGTCGAGCATGTTCGGTTGTGATGCTCTCAACAGTTTTTACTGCCCTCATATCATATCTTGTCGAAACATATGAGGCAACATGCAGCTTATGTTCATGCATTGACCGTGCATGACCGTGATGCTGGGCAACTTTGACGGCAGGTCTTCTATCAGGGACCGGCTTGCGGTGCTGCCCTGAGAAATCAACCTTACCGCCCGTCTGCGTTCACTGGTAAAAAGAACAGAACGTAGAGTTCCCATAGCAAGCAAGCGAGCCAGCAAGCAAGCGCAGTTCGGCAGGTGTGCCGGACAGATGGGAAGGTGGCGCTTGTAGATCCAGAGACGGGAGGCCGGGAAGAACAAGCCACGAGCTCGAGCGCAGGGAGAGGAAGGCAGAGTGGGATCCAGGGGTCGCAACGTCTCAGGTGTATGATCTGTTCACTGCAGCAGAATCTGTTCCTGCTGCCTTCCGCGAAAGACTTTGGACCTACAGCAGTACGAAGCACCTCGTTGATCACGGAGACGATGGAACGGTGAAGATGTAATCCAACCTAGGGCCATAATGCTCAAGGTCAGTCCATACTTCGGGCCTTGCTGGTGATCCATCAATGGAATGCCCGAGAAGTCGGAGCAAGTCAATTCAGGAACCGTTTTGTTTCCGGGATCTAGTCGCACGCACGGGAAAGCCAAGTGGACACAACGCAACGACCCCGAGTCGGCGGTGAAGCGTATAAGAAAGCTTCATCTGTGCATTCCCAACGAGAGATCACAGAAAGATAGCAGCTGTCCCAGTTGCAGAGCGCACCAACCACCCCGACAGACCAGCAGCTTCTGCCCGTTCCTGGTCATGGCCGGCCACCAAGCCACAGCGAGAGACTGTGGAAGATTGCGGAAGATGGACATTAATAGCCTTAGCCAAACCGAAGGATGCCGTGAAGGCTAGGGCCACTATTGCTTGCCGCGCCAGAGGTGTCGACTTCACGCTGTGCTGGGGCCCTCGCAGTGAATTCGTGGCGTGCCGTCCTGAAACGGCTTCCACGATGGGACTACACGTACATGGTCAGTGGATTTGAAACGGCATAAGATAAGTCAGCTCTTTGCACTCTCTCAGGTTCACAGCCATGAACAAGGCCTCGGGGGCTGCGCAGCGGTCTTGGATCCTTGATGCTACGAGCCACCGTGGTTACTGAACGTGTTTTTCACTCCTGCTCAGGTTAATCGTGATCCCTACACTGCAGCGAAGTCAGCCCTTGGTGCCTCACCCATGAGCTGCCACGAAGAAAGGAAAGCAGGAAAGCAGTCTGTACGGGCAGGTCATACCCCTCATCCCCTTCCTGACGCCGTATTACCTGTGTGGTCCCCGGCCGGCTTTACCTCTTCCCGGACCTTTTGCAGTTGCGGCAAGAAGTCACGCTTTCACGTGACTGTGACATGTTGCTCCGAGCTCCCGTTCTTAGGGTCAAACATTGGTGTCTTGCTCCTGATGTCAGAGAGTCAAAAAACTGGTGTCTTATTATCATGACCTTGGGCAGAATGGTCGCTTCCTTGTCCCTGGTCATCGGCTGACCGCACGCTAGCATGCTCCGTTTCAATCGTTTTGCACTTCGGCAAACGTGTTGGCTCGCAATTCGCTGCAAAGATTGCCTTCTTCAGTTGACGGTGTAGCTGTGCCACGATGGCCATGCGGGCTCGGGGGCTTCTGCCCTGCGCGCTGGTGGTCGCGGCCTTCGTGCTGTTGGG